GAAGCATAGTGGGTAACTGAGCAGCCAGGATCGATACGGAGTTTTGAGGAGGGATACTTACCTATACGCCGTTTTAAGTACCTATATGTAATACGGCATTATTGTGGTGCATGCATTGCAAGTTTCTAACTCACATACATTGCTCAAATACGCGTATCTTGTAGTGGACGTGCAATAACTATATGACCATTACCTATGTAGTTTAATCCTCGCCTGTATTGGTGTTTTTCCAGCCGCGAACGTATGTCCATTGGACCCCCCTTGCCGGTTGGCCCATGATCGAGCTATAGCTTCGCGGAAAAAAACGATCGTGTTGCCCGTGACGAGAGGAAGCCGATGATACCCAATTCCAAGGTCCTAGGTAATTGGTTGACCTTCCAGGTCAGGCCAATGACCCAAAAGTCGGGAAAATCGGGACCTGTGAGAACGTCGTAAAGCGTGGCTGCTATGGAGTTTTCGGGGTGCTGATCACGAATATCATGTTAGTGTTGAGCACAGATGATGTCTTCATGCATTTAGGCCAGGTCGGGTCAGGAAACTACTTCGTATATGTTCATATGGTTGCTAAATTCCGAATTCAGCTCCAAAAACTAGCCTAAAAACATGTAAAACTCGAATAAGTGAACCGAGGCCATCAAAGGTCAAGGACCTGACCTGACCTTCAGGTGACCTTGACACCCACCCTAATATGTATGGGAGCAACATCATATTCCATGTTTGAACGCCTGAAACGACGAAAAGACTGGAAACGCGCGGCTAATACGAGCCGACATACGCCGAATCGCGATTCCGGCCAAACATGGTCTCGAAAAGTAGGTCACAGGTCAAAGGTCATTCGGGTCATGGTCATGAAATTTTCAGAGTAGGTGTAAAATTGATCAACGCGAGGGTACTTGCTGAGCGTTTCGTCGGGATCAGACGCTTTTTAGCGAGCTATTCGCGAAAAACCGAGGGGGTACGTTCGACCTCCCCCCCCCACCCCCCATACGGGCGATGGTTAAAGGCAGGTATGTAAAAGCAAAGCATTTGAAATTGCAATAGATGCAAAATTTCACGCTCCTAAAGACATCTAACCAGCTAATGATAATAAAATGTATCGCGCTAAGTATATAGTTAAGTAAGATTGGATTAAAAAATAATTTACAATGCTAGACTAATTCAAAATGACTTCAGCAGGCAGAAGCTTCAGAGCTAATAAATACAATGCACACTGAATAATGCACTTTTTCTTTCTCGGGAAAATAGTACGACTGAAAACACATTTTAATGTGGACATAAAAAGGAGATAAGTAACCGGGACGGACTGAGACTCCTTTGACTGACAGCGAGCGGGAGCCGAGGAAGAAAAGTGGATACAGAGAGAGAGAGAGAGAGAGAGAGAGAGAGAGAGAAGAGAGAGAGAGAGAGAGAGAGAGAGGAGAGAGAGGAGAGGAGAGAGGGAGAAAGGGAGAGAGAGAGAGGAAGAGGAAGAGAGAGGGGAGGGAGAGCTGAGAGATAGAAAGACATACCTACAGAGAGAGACAGGAGAGAGAGAGAGAGAGAGAGAGAGAGAGAGAGAGAGAGATAGAGAGAGAGAGAGAGAGAGAGAGAGAGAGTAAGAGAAATAGAGACAGAAAGAGAGAAAGAGAGGGAAAAGGAAGGTGGGTAGGACATTTTCATAAAGCTTGCGCGAGGATATTTAAACGAGTTTAGCCTAGACCGAGCGGAGAAAGTCAGACAGGAGTGACAGGGTAAAGGCTCAGATGAAAGACAGGGTGGTTTACAGGCACAGGCGATACCCTGGTGAGTTCCGATGGGCTGAGGTCAGTTCAGACGGGCCGGGAGTCGCAGTGCCCAGTGCTGCTGGTTCATTACAGCCGGTTCGCGCTGGTCCGAGGCCGATTGTGCGGCCCTTTGTGGTCGGCCGGCGGTGTAGCCCCAATGACCGGCGCGCCGCCACAGCGCACTGATGAATGGCACCCCAGTCTGTGCGGCGCTTTGTCCGCGCTGGCACCAGCAAAAATGACCGCCGACGACATCAAAAGGAGCTTAGCGTAATGTGCCGTCACGTATTCCACGGGCGACATCGGCAGCACAGGCCGAGCACCGCGCCGTGCCGCAGCAAAAACCGACTCAACGAGTCATTTGTCATATATGTACTACTGCTCTGGTTCTCCATAGTTGAGGAAGTCAACAGCGTGACGTTGGTGTGCGTTATTGCTGTGTTACAAGATAAATTTCGACTTATTTAGGGATAATATTATACGAGTGATACAGGTGTGACTATTGGACCATTGGTGTAGTGTTTTTTAAACGCATTTTCTCTATTTCTGTATTCGTTCTAAAAATGCCGGGTAGCAAGAAAAGGACAATATCAGAACCTTATTTCAAGGTTGCTAAGAGGACAGAGGTATAAACTAAGCACTCAGTATTGTCACTTCTATACAGGATAAATGTCAATAAAGACGTGTGAAATCTTTTAAGCTTATATTTTCAACTTCTTTTACATCGGTCCAAGCATTTACAATCGGTAATAGCCAAATGATCCTACAACTATGGTCATAACTTACTACACCCCTTATAACTAGGTATATGCCTATCTACGACTGAGTAGTCATACGCAAAAGGCAAAAGCAAAAAAAAAAGAGCGAAAGCAAGTGACAGCAGGAAAAAACGTTAGCATAGACGGAAAACCGGCTGTTTCGTGTCAGAAGCCATGACGGAGACTGTCCTTGTTGGGTTTGAGAGCCCTCGATTATTATATAGGTACTTGTGTCATATTTGTATGGTTTGTCAATAAATGTTAAAAAGACAGCAGGAAAAAAGAATATTCGAAGTTCTAGAAGCTTATATTCACAGGATTTTCTTCACTTTTTTAATAAGCTATGACCAGGCCGGGCGGGAGTTATGCCCGATAATATGAAACTCGGATCTGAGCCACGACTGCCGCCTCCCCGCTGGACGAGCTGTGGCTTAGCGGGGAGATCCGGAAACGGGCGGACGAGGGCCGAGGGAAGACCGTTTGTGTGGCTGGGCAGCGCAGTGGGCGGTCGGTCATCTCTCACAGTCTTCATCAGATTCCAGCAGAGAGCGGTCCCTCTGCCCGTGGATGCAGAAAGACCCCTCCACCAATGGGAAGAAAACGGCCTCAATGCCGATAGACATTGAGCGTCGCTCATGGAGCGATTTCTCCGTAAATGGAAAGGGAACGACTCCTATGCAGACGGGAGAGAGCCAGTCCCTCCAGCCACGTGAATACGGCGGCCCCTCTGTAAACGGGAAGATTATGTCGCTTTGCCGAGGGTGAAAAACGACAAGTGAGCTTTTGCGAATTGAAGGGAGTGATCCTAGTTCAGAAGGCTATTTAACCCTATTAGTGGCAGGCTCCTGGCTACCCCATATTAGTGGCAGGGGGGGGGCTGTTTACGACCCCCCCCCTTGATATCTCGAGATCTAACCGGCCGATTTTCAAAATTCAAACGGCATTCGATTTGGCTCAACGAGATCTACATTTCTAAAAAAATAAAATTAAAAAATGTCAATAGGGGGGTAGAGGGGGGTAAAAACGGGCAAATTGCAGATACATTTTAGACTGTTTATCACGGCCAGGTTTCTGAACCAATCTTAACGCAACTTTTGCCGATCGATAGAGAATGAACCAGGAATTCACATGGATCCTAAAAATATGCATTTTCAAAAATCATAGGCGGATACAGATCATTGAGATTGGGGGTACACAAAAAGTATAGTAAATAAGGTTTTTGTTGGTACTGTTTCTAAAAAGGGTGGCAATGGTCTTGTTATGTTACAATTTTCTTATGAGAGAACGACTAAAATTGTATTGGTCATGCATAGGCGGTGTCAGGGCACCTATGTTGGGAGGTAAAAAATAACCCCCCTTTTTGGACGCCTGGATCCGCCTATTATAGCAAAAACGTGTCAAAAGAGGATGCACAATAACTTTGTATATGTTATCACATGATACCTTTCATTCACTGTTCGTAAAACTGGTGCAGCATCGTGATCTTCGCCCAAATGACTCGCTTCACGAATAGGACCCCCCAATTCCCAGTGCTCTGGAGCCGCCCCTGGTAAAGTTATGAACTTGAACTTTTCAGGGAATGTGCCCAATTTAGTTTTAGGAAAAGTCAGAAAATTTCAGCATCGTAGCTTCAGCGGTTTCGGAGATATTCCCGAAAAACCTGAGGGGTGGATAAAAACAACCCCCCCCCCCCCTGCCACTAATAGGGTTAAGGTATACATTTTAACAATATTGTTTTGCTGGTATTCAGATAGCAGTGGATCACAATCAACATATTCGACAGTCAGACAGAGTCAACAATTTACAGGATACGGCGCAGTCCAGTACACAGGGCTCTACTCAACAGACCACAGCCAGGCAGTAAGAAGGCCACAAGAGAATGCAGCACACAACAACGAGAGTCTTCAGAATAGAGCGAATGAAAGTTCACATTCTATGGAAGCGCCGTCCGCAGTCTTCTTCAGCTCGGGCACAGTCGGACACAGTCTGTCTTCCACAGTCAGTTCACAGTCTGGGACAGTCGACCTACAGTGGGATACAGTCCGGTCCTCAATGTGATACAGTCGGCTGGACGGCCCGCAGCGGGCGGTGCCCGACCTCCCGCCGGCTGCGCGGTCGGTGACCACCTCTCGGCACATTTCCCGCCCTCTGATCCGTCTCCGGGCCATCAGCTCGGGCGTCTGCTGCCGTGTCGGGCCGGGCCGCCGCCCGATCACCGTCACTGCCGGCGGCCGGCCCCGAGTGACTGCCGCCCTCCCTCCCCCGCCGTGTCGTGAGCGATGTCCCCGCCGGGGGACCACCCAGTGCTGCTGTCGGCCGGCCGCAGATCGGTCGCCGCTCAGCCGCCGCGCCGCGCCGGACCGCCACAGGTTGGCGCCGCGGGCCGGCGCGGTGCTGCGCGCGCGGCCGCCGCTCCTCGCCATGAGACGCCGCCGCGGCCGTGGCCATCGATTTCCGTCCGGGCGGCGGTCAGCTGGTGGCGGCGGCGGCCGTCGGGCGGCGCTGGCGGCGAGCACAGCTGGCCAGCTGCCGAGATGGCGAGCGTCGAGCAGCTGCTGCTGGCCGCCCTCTGGACGCCGCTGGCCGCTGCGCTCAGCACCAGGCCGGACTCCACTCCGAGCCAGCCGTCCTCACCGCCGCCGGCCTCCAACAGCTCCGAGGAGGCGGGTGCGCCGCGGGTGGAGGCGGCCAGAGAGACCCATATGGCGGCGGCGGCGGCGGCCGGCAAGTCAGCCTCTCATCCGCTGCTCACGCTGACACTGGTGCTGGCGCTGTGTTTTGTCAGTGCTGCTGCCGCCTTCGGACTGCGACGCGTGCTCCGGCGAGCCTTCTTCAAAGACAGGTGGGTGCTAGCCAGGCTGTTAGCGACTGCATTTCTGCCACCTGTCACGTGCTCACCTAACTTAGCTTTCCTATTGAAAAGCAAATTTTGAAGTCACTAACTTGTGGACGCCTTTCAGACTCATTAGTAGTCCCAAAAGCCCCATAGATAGTGGGATTCAGCAAAACTTTTCTTTATTAAGTAGGGATTGGTCCACATTTAAATCATTCCGAACCTAAAATTGTGTTTTAGGAAAACTTCAGACTTCACTCAGGTTACTAGTTTGGCTGAAAAGCGGGAAGACCATAACCTAACCTCTGCCCTGCTCCTTCTCCTATGTCATCATGCTGATGAAGTTCCTTTATTTTGAACGCATACACTGCGTAGGTACTTGCATCATAACCGAAGGTTTGTTGTCAATAGTTAAAACACTATTCTTTAGAATTGTGTTTTTCTATTGAAAAACAAATCTGAGTTCCCTGACAATTTGGCAAAAGCTGCCTGAGATCAGTAAATTCAGTATGCATACCTACGCGCGTACTGCGTAATACTCACCTAGCGTCTGCCATCCATACTTTCAGTTACAGCTATTGGCAACAGATGGCAGCACACATACGCGCCTGGAAGGTAGTCTGTGCCGCATTATGCCCGGGTATTGCGGCACGGTATAGGCGCTGTGAGAACCCACATTGCACAATGCACATAGCCCCCGCCGTAAATTTACCGGATCGGATATATTACATTTTTCAGAAGTCATGTCTGATTTCATGAGTAGAAGGAGAGCTGACCTATGCATATTATGTATGGTCATTTGCATTTGGTACCTAGTCCCACGTAATTGCAAAATGCTTTCAATATTAGGAAGAACTTTGGTATGAATGAAATGAATGAAACTCGAATGAAAGAACTTTGGTACGGTACAGAGAGAAAAGTGTTCTTACCCACTAACTCCCAATGATGTGTTTCAGGACGGGAAGTTATCGTTATTTCAAAGTGAACCAAGAAGACGACGGAGAGTTGATGGCAGTTGACGGCGGGTACCACGTGGCTCTGGATGATTCCAGCGAAGACGAGGTAGGACAAGAATGGGGTAAGATTGATGGAGGATAGAATGGCAATAGAGTAGAGTGGGGTAAGACTGAAATTGGGTGGAACTATTGCTGAGGGAAGAAATGGTGAGGCTAAGAGGGTCGAGGGATCAAGTGCTAGTGAGGGAAGATTGAGATTGAGTGGGACTGGGAAAGATGGAGTTGAAGTTCGGCATATACGACACACATGAGCAGTGAGCACCCTCGTGAAATGTGCCTTTATTCATTTAATGGACATAGATTAACTCCGGATACACTCTCTGCTTGGAAGGGTGTAAAACAAAGTTAATCTTCTCGGCCTCAAGGATAAAGTAGGTAGTTCTTTTGACCGTGGCCTGGGAACTGTATGTGCGACCTTCCTTGAGCAGGTGTACCTACCAGGGTTGTGCTTGACTCATGAGTCGAGTCAGAGATTTGACTCAACTCTGACTCAGATGAGTCAGGTTTGAGTCGAGTCGGATAAAATGTTGAGCTGTTGAGTTGAGTCAGAGTTGAGTCAGACAAAATATTAAGGTGTTGAGTTGAGTCATAGTTGAGTCAGTAAAATAACTTTTGACATTGAGTTGAGTCAAAAACATTTAGGAACATGAGTCAGCTGACTCATCTTTCTAGAAACAATGTATAAGCTTTTCATTCTCCCCCACCCCCGCTTAACAACTTAGGCCTGGCCCTGCTGCCGGATTTTTTTTCACCCCCCCCCCCCCCCCGCTCATCAACTTTTTTATCTGAGTCAAATTTGAGTCAACAAACTTGGCTCAACAAAAAATTGAGTCAAGTTTGAGTCAACCAATATTTTCATTGAGCCGCTTGAGTCATGAGTCGAGTCAAGGAAAAAATCAGCTCCTTGTTTGAGTCAGAGTTGAGTCGGGGCTTTCTGAAGTTGAATGATGAGTCGAGTCGGCAAATTTTTTTGAGTCGAGCACAACCCTGGACTACCTACCACTTAACCTATATGGAAACATGTGAGCGCCTATTAAATTAATTATCATCACATTTTGCTCATACAGGATATTTCACACTATGTTACAGCTGGGTCCAGCGCGGCTTCCGGTCAACACACCGGAAACGGCGCAGGTGCGGCGAAGTTGTCTGTCTCCGCCGCCAGAGGCCAAGTCTCTGCTGATAGAGTCCTCTGATGAGGTAGGTGGCTGGTCTCTGCTGAGCGCTTCTATACATCCTAGTTCTTCAATGCGAATTGCACAGCTCTTCATACCTAAATATCAATCTTGAGAGCTATACAAAAATGATCAATGACATGGTGGAAATGTGAAAAACTTTTATTGCAATATAGGCCGAATATTAATTATTAGAACATTATTGCGCTCGCAATACGGCTCCTCACGGCGCCAATACCGTGCCGCACTACCCAACCGTAATGCGGTACAGACTACCCTTCAGGCGCGTAAGCGTGCTGCCATCTGTTGCCAATAACTCTAACTACGCAAAAGTATGGATGAGTACCAAGCGAAATAAAAATTTATCTCCCTTTCCGTCCGTCGGTCCCCCTCCCCCACCCCCCCCCCCCCCCCCCCCCCCCCCCCCCCCCCCCCCCCCCCCCCCCCCATCTCTCTCACTCGCTCGCTCTCTCTCGCTCTCTCTCGCTCTCTCTCGCTCTCTCTCGCTCTCTCTCGCTCTCTCTCGCTCTCTCTCGCTCTCTCTCGCTCTCTCTCGCTCTCTCGCTCTCTCTCGCTCTCTCTCGCTCTCTCGCTCTCTCTCGCTCTCTCTCGCTCTCTCTCGCTCTCTCTCGCTCTCTCTCGCTCTCTCTCGCTCTCTCTCGCTCTCTCTCGCTCTCTCTCGCTCTCTCTCGCTCTCTCTCGCTCTCTCTCGCTCTCTCTCGCTCTCTCTCTCTCTCTCTCTCTCTCTCTCTCTCTCTCTCTCTCTCTCTCTCTCTCTCTCTCTCTCTCTCTCTCTCTCTCTCTCTCTCTCTCTCTCTCTCTCTCTCTCTCTCTCTCTCTTTATTCGTCTTTTTGTTAATTGGCCTGCCTGCACATGTTTATTGAGCTCCGACATCTTCTCTCTGTTTCAGGAGCTCCTTCAGTGAACAATTGAGGATTGGGTTCTTTGGCGTACCTGCTCTTCTTGCACATGTCAAAAACCAATATTTTCGTGCGCTATAGTAATACGAAATCATTGATAGTTTAAATGCACAAGTGTATATATCAGCACAATTATGCCTACAGTTCGTTTGGAAAGCTGTTCAAGAGACAGGGTCTCAACATAATTACAGACGTTCTTTGTCCTTAACACCCTTGGTTTTCACCTACAGTCGGTACATTGTTCTGTGGATGGGCTACTTAAAGGGACCCTCCCACCTTCAAAAAAGTTAATGAATTGGCATGAAAGTGATGTCGCTCGGTTCAGAAAGAGCAAAAACGAATATCTACCAAATTTCATCGAAAAATATTCACCGGTTTTCAAGATATTAGACTTTTACTTTTGTTTACTTTTTGGGATCTCCGCTGTTCCTAGCGACTTTATTTGAAAGTGCGGCATTTGTTGCGCGCAAAGCAGCATATACCACCGCGTGCTACAAAACGTTTTAGTCAAACATTTAACGGACGTTCGAAAGCCTGATGACGTCATCAGATTCCCGTAATGGTTAAGAGATAGGGACCACGCTGGTCCCACCCTGCAAGTAAAGGGAAGAAATTTCTTGAACACCATAAAGCTGCGGGGGTTGCGACCAGGATAAATGGTGGTTTCTGAGCCTGGCCGCAAACTTGGCTATCTCAACTCAAAACTAATGTTAAGGTGGGAGGGTCCCTTTAAGGGCCCAAAATGTAGGTATGCATAAAAAATACATACCTCCGTTTCATCAAGCACAAGACAAATCTGCAAAAATGATACGTTTCCTGTCTCTAAGACACTGGTCTATACGTACGATTTACTTTATATTTTAGATCGTAGACGCTGGTACCTGCAACTTGTAAGTTTGGTACGCAAGGTAAAAATTTGCTGAAATGCGGGAACCGTAATGGAATATAATATGGGAATGTTAGGAACATAATTCATGCGATCATGATCTAAATATACTACATAAGAAACACCATGGAGTCATGACTAAGATGGTGAAGTCAATGACTTTTTACCTGTGGTAGTGTAGCAGGTTTACTTCATCGTGTTTTTTTCCGATTTACGGGAAACTCCACTGGAATACTGAAAGATATCGTTTGTACATATAACCATAGAAGTTAGAACGTTTCGTACGGGTAGTCGCTTAGCCGGTGCACAATGTACATACATATATCGCTGAATGATGAGGCCATGAGAGCAATTCTGTCTGTGGTGCACCCGTTTATTTTATATGTTTTGATGTGACTCATGTAGCGTCTGCTGGCTGCCGAGCTCATATTGCGCTGAGCTGTTCAAAAGTCCTAAAATGAGCAGCTGATGTATCGCCTGGTGTCTAGCCGAGGGTGACGTGCGACTGACTGATTGGACGGACGCTATTCTGAGCCTGAGCGGTGTGGCGGCGGCTGATGTGTGATGTGTAGACTGTTGTTTGCGCGCAGATGACGTGCTGTTGATTGATGTCAGCGTGACATGTCGCCTGATGTCCGCCAGCGGATGAGGAGTCGTTGACTGATGTGAACTATTTGATGGGTCTGGCCGGGCCAATGAACGACAGCAGTGGTGGCTCACGTGTTGTCCCGATCGTGACCAGTCCTAACATACCAGATCACCACGCCGTGCCGGTAGCTGACGAGTGTGTGTGAGCGCCTATAAAAGAATATATTTGTGGGTTTGAGCGTGAGTATGTGTGTGCCACCTTTTAACTCGCTGCGGCCAAGGGTGATGTCAAAATAATGCTGCTGTTCAATACAAAAGAAAGACGCAAATCTGTTTAAGATGATGTCCAAAATAACTAATATAGTCCGCATTTAGCCAGCTTCACGACCTAAGTTTCAACTTGCGCAAGATAAAACCATCTGCACCTTTTGCTAGTCCGTAGGCGAAGCGAAACCATTTAGCGACATTCTCATCAGTTTGACCTACAGAGCTGTCAACAAAAGTCACGTGATTGACCTTTGCACATTAGATTGTCGCTCATCTAACAGCGTAGGCACAACGCTAAAAACGGTACCAAACGACTCGTATCGCCATCATATGCCCTCATTAGACAAGTTACAAGCCTCAGACCACAAATTGAAACACATTTTTGCGATTGGTCGGAACACGCTACCCATAAAAAGCTGAAAGTTGGCATACATTAACTTGATCTTTCCCATATAAAATGCATGTCCCTCGACGCGTTTGCTCATGACAAATACGATGGCGCCAAAATCGCGGCCCTGCAATCATTTTTCACGAAGTAATTTAACAATACAAACAAATCTTAGGACCTTTGACCTGACCTCCGAGTTCACCGGTTGACGTTAGTGAGTAAGGGTATAAGTATAAGGGAAGGTCGTATGGAACTCCCCCCCCCCCCCCGTTCGGTTTTCAGGAAAAAAAACTCGCGTAAAAAGCGGCCGATTGCGACGAAACTTTCAGTTCCCTCGCGTTAATCAATTTTACAACTAAACTGGAAATTTCACGACCCTGACACAAATGACCTTTGACCTGTGCCCTCTTTTTCGAGACCATGTTTGGCCGGAATCGCGATTCGGCGTATACGTATGTCGGCTCACATTAGCCGCGCGTTTGCAGTCTTTTTGAGGTTTCAAGCGTTCAAACATGTGATATGATGTTGGTCCCATGCATTACGGTGGGTGTCAAGGTCACCTGAAGGTCAGGTCAGATCACTGACCTTTGATGACCTCGGTTCAGTCGAGTTTTGCATGTTTCTTGGCTAGTTTTTGGAGCTGATTTCGAATTAAGCATCCATTTGAAAATTTACGAAGAAGTTTTGGTGCCTTCGTAACATCATACGAAGCAGTCAGTGGCAGCTGACATCTACTATGAATACTCGTCAGGAAGCCTACTGGTTGACCTGACCTGACCCGACCCGACTTGGCTTAATTGCATGAAGACATCATCTGTGATCAAAGCTAACATGAAAATAGAGATCGCACCCCGAAAACCCCCATAGCAAACGCAAATTACATGTTCTAACAGGTCCCGATTTTCCCGACTTTTGGGTCATTGACCTGACCTGAAAGGTCAACCGATGACCTTTGATGACAGGCGAGGGTTAAAATCGGTTGAAATGCGTTTTCTGTGACCTAGTTAGTAGCTATATCTGACAGTTCCTGAGACAGATGCCAGGCCCAGGTCTTCACAAGTTAGGAAACGACCATGACAAGACTTAAGGACTGATCAGGAACGTCTCGTAGCGAGCTATCGTTTGCCAACGGGGTCGTTTACCCTCCCCCCCCCCCAGGGAGTGATGAAATTCCCCATCCATTACAGTATTGACTACTCGTATGTGACAATTTTTCTACACTATCTGCCTGGTCGAGTGTTCGTCGCATCGCGGTGTAACCAAATGTGACACTATACGCACATTTGTGTGAGTCATGAAATCATACACTTAACAGAAAACTTACTATAATAGCATTTATTGATATAAAAATTATCTTGAATACGTACATTCCATTAGCTTCATAAAATGTACCAATAGTCATTAGTTCTCGTAGGCATACAAAAACTTTACCGAAAAATTCGGCGAATCTCGAAATACAGCAGCAGCTTTCAGCGACGCTGGTAAAGACCCGTGTCATCAATAAGCCCAGCGGCGTCCCGGCTCGACGTACTGAGGTACCACGTGCATACCGTGCCCACATTGAGGTACATCGCACGTACCGGCTCGACGCACTCAGATCCCTCGGGTCCGGCACAATGAGGTCCCCACACGTATCGTCCCCACGAACTGAGGGCCCCGCACGTACCGGCATGGCGTACTGAAGTACCGCGCACGGTGACGCTCCTCTGTCGGCTACACCACGGAGAGAATCTCGTTGTACAGATCGGTGCCGAAAATGTCTCCCCGGCAGCTGAGAACATCTGAACAGTCTTCGGTCGTCGCCGTTGGACAGTCATCGCCGTCGTCGCCGCTACCGACCGGCTCTGGTTCACCCCGATCGTGTTCAGTCTTCATGTGCATTGAGAGGTCGTCGCGGAGCAGGAACAATCTGTTGCACTCTGGACACGCCAGTGGCTCTTGTCCGTCGGCGGGACGGTCCTGTCCGCGGTCGGCAGGCGGGGCCGCCGGTACCGGCACCGGGCGAGCTGCCGTGGCCGGCTCCGGTGGCGGCTGATCACAGTCGTGGTTGTGCACCAGTTCTGGGGTTGGCACGGAAGCGCCGCAGCGCGCGCAGAGAAGAGCGTGTGCGCTGGCGCGGTGCCGCTCCAGCTTGGCTGCAGTGTCGAACTGACGGCCGCACCGCAGGCAGCAGAAGCGCGCCGGCTCGTGACCCAGCCGGTGGCGGTACAGAGCCGCGGCGCTCTCCAGTACCTGGCCACACACGTCGCAGCCGCGGTAGCCAGTCCGGTGCAGGCGCAGGTGCAGTGGCAGCAGCACGCGAGCGATGAACTTGCGACAGACGCGGCAGCGCGCAGCGTCGGCGCGCGGCCACCGCTGGGGCGGCAGCTCGGGCGGCGCCGGCGGCGGGCTCTTAGCGGGTGGCTCGCGCTCGGCCGGCGGCGTCTCGGGGACCAGCGGCGGCGGCTCCTCGCAGCCCGAGTATGTGTCGGCCAGGTCCAGCACGCCCTCCACCTCCACCAGCTCGCTGAAGTCGAGCAGTCGGCGGCGGCCGCGCTGCCGACGCCGCTCCGCCGCCACGGCCGCCGCCGCCTCGTCACCGGACGAGTCTCCAGCGGCGGCGCGCTCCTCCAGCAGTCCGCGGCGCAGCGCGCCTCCGCCCGGCCTCCTCAGCGCCTTGGCCCGCAGGCCGGCCGGCAGGGCGGAGGGACGGCGTGCCGCCGCCAGCAGACTCCCCGGCCCGGCGCGGGGCGGCAGCGGGGACGACTCCGGCTTCTCTGGCGCTTCCTCGGGTATTGGCTTCCTCTTGCGCAGTCGCTGACGAATCGTACGGCTGAGTCGCAACGCTGGTGGTGGCGGGTTGTCGATGTGTCGAAGACTAAACATAGATAGAAAACTGCCTTTGAAGCGTTCCTTCTCTGAGTCCGGCATCAGGGAGACATAGGTCGGAGGCTCACTGACACGGGGCTGTTCGGGCGGCTCTTCCGGAACGGTCGGGCCGACCGAGCTTGGCACCTGGGTAGCGGAGACAGCGATAGGCTCGCTATCGCTCTGACTGCTGCGCTGAGTGGCTGTCCTGGCGGGAACGGCAGCAGCGGCGGCTGCACTGTTGGCTAGCTCCCGCAGCCTCAGCAGTGCCGCGTCTGCTGGGCTGACGTCTCCACTCTCGCGCTCCTCGGCTGCCACAGCGGCCAGGTGTCGCAGCCAGCGGGCGCGCGCTACCGCCCAGCACTCGGAAGGGAAGCCCGGGAACTCTGTCGGCTCGACCGTCACGCCACCGGGCTCAGCGTCAGTGGGTGCGGCCGCCGGGGCTGGCACGGAGGACGGCCCCTCTCCACCGGTGAGCAGGCGACTCAGCTGGACAGAGACGGAGGTAAGTGCCCGAGGCGGGGTGCCGGAAGCAGCGGCGCTGACCGTACCGGAAGCAGCGGCGCTGACCGTAGCCACACGATGAGTACTTTCCTTGCAGTTCGGAGATTTTCGCGGCGACCTAGCTGCCCGCGATTGACACGCAGAGCCGCGATCACAGTCGGCTTTGGGCCCGCGGTTATAACCGCTTTTCGTGGCCAGTTTGTGTTTCTTTGGTGTCTGAGGTGTCCGCGGGCGGCCGTTCCACGCGGTCCGGCAGCGTTCCCCGCTTCGGATCGGACTGGTCATAGGACCCGTCACTATGGCACAATCAACATCCTCCCCTGACGGCAGACCAGTCGACCTGCTGCTGGTCTCCGATCCGTCCAGGTCGCTGACGTCATTCTCCACCACCCAGATGAGCCCGCCGCCCTCGGAGATGGTGCCAAAGTCGTCATCCTCCACCACCTCGATAAGCTCTGAGACGGCGCCGGGCAGCGCGGTCAGCCGGTCGGCGGGCCCCTCGTCGTCGGACGCCTGTGAGGAGTAGTCGGTCTCCGTGTAGATGTCTATCAGGGGGGAGCCGACGCCAGCGTCCGAGCGGCGCGCCCACAGCTCCGAGAGCACGCAGTCCGGGATGTCCGCCCGCTCCGCGGCGCGGGACGCCGACGGCGCAGAGGACAGCGGCGGCTCGACGACCGACCGGAGCATCGTCACACCGCGGTGAGTCTGACAGCGGACGGTGGACAGGAGCTTCAGCTGTGCCAGATGCAGGGGCGGAAATGGCGTCCAATCACCACTCGCTGACTAGGCACGGTAGCGAACTCACCTGTAAAACAAAGACCCAATGTCAGAGATCGGAGCCGGCAAATAACGGGATGAGACAGGCAATGCCTAAATAGCTCCATGAAACATAGTCCAGCAAATCTTGTGTATAGATCAGTCAGGAGATCATATTTACACCCCCCCCCCCCCCCCAAATAAACATGCTTATCATGCTTTGTGCTTCAGAAAGCCACATAATACAACTGCATCAGCAGATTTAATTACACAGAAAAGAAAATTAATATGGGCAACGTCCCATTTCTTTTCACTATCCACCATATGCTCTGTGGGAAAGCACCTACAGAGAGCATAAAGGACATTTGCTATTTCTTGCCCCTCTGCCCAGTGTCTCCACTACACAGAAGATGTAGAGTAGTTGGGAAAGTGGGGAAAGTGCTCAGAAATGCCACAATCGGCTTCAACTGTAATTTGTAAACAACAGGTCCAATCCAATCATTGTAGGTACCTAAAACGATGGATATCTATAAAGCCTACGACCATTGAAAAATTTCGCCATGAATAATAAAATTGTAGATTTTTTTCACACAACCCCGAATTGAATACAGAATTGAGAGCTGATACCTACACGATGACGCAGCTTACATCCCCATGTATGCATGTATGCACTGTGAAATTACTAAAAGCTTGTAAATTATGTAACCATAGGTAAGAGCAAAATGTTTATGGGAAACAAGGGGAAATTAGATCTGAGCCAGACGAATTCGCAAGTGGGGCGACAATGGACAGTGCCCTGCTGTAGGTAAACTCATAGAGAAACTGAATCTGATAAAGTGCTGGATCATACAGTTCACCATTGGGAAGTTGAGGATGCAGAAAGGCCAGACCAGTCTGCCAAGATATTGGACTTGAAAATGTTTATTTTGAGCCCACAAAGCTTTTGGCTCTTCTACCTAAACTGTTCTCCAACAATCCCCAGTTATTTGTATTGTTATGGAAAGATAGGTCTACCCACAGGTATGAATAAGTTCACTGATCAGTGATCACTCTACCTTCATTATGTAATAACCCCACTGGCAGTTAACTGATAGGTCAAGGTAGGCATTAAAACTACAGGGATCACCTGCAATCAATGCTGGTGCACCAGCATGAATTCACTTCCTCAGAAAGCAGAAACTGCCAATTTCATTAGGTACAAGGTTTGATTAAAAAAAGTGTTAAGAATTTAGCATTTCAGACCCATATGCTGGCACCTGCTGCCTTTGCCCCAGGCACTGTAGTTATATTTTTTATCAGCAGGCTGCAAGCCTGATGTTGTTTCCTGGCTTCCCCTTTGTCAAATTCACATGCCTCAGGTGTACACAGAATTTGGAGGCATGTGTAGGCCTGTTCATGTTGTCACATGAAATTGACACATCAAAAAGTCAATTTAGCCCTGCTAAAAAGTTAATAAAGTGAGTTGCAAATATTCCAGAAGTAGTAAGCTATAGAACTCAACTCCATATGACCTCATTTCAACCAAACCACTGCAGAGGCCTCTTGCACCAAAATCCTCTTGCACCAATGCTTGGATTATTTTGCATCGTATACCCAGTCCAAGTCTCAAATGCAACAATTTGCTTGCAAAATTTAGCAAGCACATGTAGGATTATGTATTGGGCTATTGCAAACAAATTTAGCACCTGTAGATTAGCTTATTCTGAAACCGGTTTTTCGATTTTACCTAGCTAGGTAGTTTGGTGCAAGAGGCCTCAGATCTATCAATCAGAAGACACAAGAACACAGCAGCAGGATCTTGTAACAAATTGAAATGAAGTAGGTTCTCTGGACATGTCAAAGCTTTTAGCACCTGGTACCTACTGAGAAGTGAGAAGCTAGAACAATGGGACCAAATTAAAGAATGTGATTAGTCCTGAGGGGTGTTCACGGGCACCGCACACTGCTGCGTGCGGTGTGTGCGGTGCATCCAGCAGGCGTGGGGGTAGGGGGCGGGTAGGCGGCTCTGACGTCACGGCTGCGTGCAGTGGACGGTCTGCTGTGGCCGGTCCACCGGCCACAGCGGTCGCTGTGTGCGGTGACAGAAGGCTGACGTAGGGACGCAGTGGGCGGAGCTTGGAGGCTGTGTGCGCTCCAACCGCACACAGGGCCCGTGAACAGCCCTCTGGCCAATTCATTACCATTCCACTACTGTTCTGTTCCAATTTCCAACCTTTGTACATAAAGTGGTTGAAAATATGGCTCTTCCTCATATCCTTATGTTACATTCTGTGGAACACTTCTCAATGTACTGATTGTGATGAAGCCTGAAAAGACTTAAACAGGTTCACAAGAGTATTCAGAAAACCAATCCATTATCAGCTTCATATTAGCATATTGATATTACAGCTTGAACAGAACGCATTGCGAGACTGAGACCATCCTTTAGTATGCCTGTGACTTCTAGGTTCCAATCAATCTTTTCTTTCTATTATTTAAATACATGCTGTACAGCTCCTCAATCATAAAACACACATAAGCAATAGAATGATGCAAACATACCACCATAAATCAAAATGACCAAATTGAAAAATGTGATCAAGAAACTTATTTCTGCTTATCCCTTGTATTTTACACTAACTGTTGAAAACTGATGATACACGAAGATATCCCCCAGAACGTTTATTATTTTGAAACCCATCTACAACAGCCACCACATTAAAAATTGAATTAATTCGTGCTTTAACGCTTTGGCTTGTCTCAGTCTGCACCAAACCATCAAACATTTATGAGTATTTTAAAGCAAGATTGTCACTTGAAAGATGCATTAACACCCAACAACACCTTCAGTTTACGGCTACTAAAAGCAGGAGTGATTTCAAAAAAGGTTTCGGTATAAATCCCAGAATAAATCCCAGAATACAGCATGGCAATCTACGCAATCCCCGTGCCTCTCACTTTCCTGCACCGTATGGTGCTGCGCCCTGCGGCGAGAATCAGAACTACTGATTATCGGCGAAACCGAAGCCGATCCTACAGATGGCAGCACTAAAACCGCATAAGCAAATAGCAGTTGCAGCCATGGTTCTTCAATCTTCACCTTAGTTTCCCTTAGTTTCCCTTGTTAGCATTCTCTGATTGTTACTTAGCTCAGCACGATCATATCATCAACCAACTGATGGACTCGCCCGCCCCTTCCGCTAATGGAATAACTGCCCCGGCCAGCTCGCCGGGGAAGTTTCACTAACGCCCCCCTCCCCCCCCCCCCCCCCGAGTGATTGTTACAGGGGCGAGTTTCTCCCATCCCGACTGGACGGACCCCGCTGCTGTGGCGTACTAGCCAGTGGTAACATCAGTCCAATGACTCACCAAGCCTTAAATTCTCATATTCACGGCTTAGCCGAATCAATGGTTTACGTAAATGATACCGGTAGGCCTGCCCTCCAAAAAAGGCAAAATTACGCGTAAAAATACATCAAGTATCAATGAAGGATAAAAAATTCGACTTCAGAAACTATCTGAATGTATTTACACATGAACGCATTGACAAGCGGCGGTACATTACAAACGAATGAGTTGACGCGATCGTTACTGGTCGGGACGGTCTGGGCGCCGTCCCGGTGGGCCCGGCTGGGACTCAGGAGGCGTCCATGGGGCTGCCGGCGGCGGTGCCGGCCGTCTCGGCGGCCTCCTCCGAGGGCTCCTCGTCCAGCAGCTGCTGCAGCTGGTGGATCGAGCTGATGAGCACGTGGAACTGCTTGCGGCGCATCTCCAGCTTGTCATCCAGCTCGCCCTGTGTGCTCTGTGGAGGGGGAGGGTGCGTTAGTGGTGCGCCCGGCCGCCCAGGATCGCTGACAGTGCATAACGGCTTCCGTAAGGTAGACAGAAATGAGCATACATAGCAGAGTCTAAAAATGGAGATGATCGTACGCATCGTCCGCTGTCTGAACACCTCATTATTTTCCTTATTCCGTGAACAGCGCCCACCCCGATAAGTCTGTCGAGTTGCGCTGAAGGTTAGCTCGATGAGTCACGGCTCCCGTCGCCGCTAGCTCGGTACTCACATACCACTGACCGCTTGCTCAGCGGTGCGCCTGATGACTATCTAAGCTGAAGCGTGCGCTCGAGCCCCTCACAGCACACACGGGGACTCGTTCTCACCTGCAGGGACTCCAGATCGGCGCGCAGCTGAGCGAGACGGGCCTCTGTCTGCTGACGGTCCGGCTGCTGAGCGATCACCTTGGCCAGCGCGTCGTACTCCATACGGTTCTGACGGATCTGTGACCGGGCGGGCGTCATCCCGTGTTAGTAAACGAGTGGGTCAGAGTAAACAAGCCATAGAGCTTCGTACCGTCAACTGTCACTGATGTGGTATTGGGACGCGATATTGGCAAGTCTGACGGACGGACTAATGTCGGTAAAATTATTGATTGTCAATTGCAATCGTGCAAAAAGTCGCACGGATCTGGTCGGCTGCATTCCAAGTGTTGCGAAACAGCATCGTTAATACAGAACACTCGTAAAAAAGTTTGGTTCGTGTGTGCACCAGTTCACTCTGCTCTCACAGTTAAGCTTAAGCGTTGCGCAAAAACAAAACTCCAGTCCCCCATTCCATCGAGCCATGACATAAGCGCACCTGTTTGGCAGCGTTCAGCTCCTCTTTGGCCTTGACGATTTCAGCTTTGACGGCCTCTGTGCTGGAGTCGATCTGCTTGTAGAGGGTCTCGTAGTTCTTCAGCTCTGTCTCGTTCATGCGGCAGCAGAGCTGGGACTTGGCTATCGAGAATTCGCACTGGCTCAGCTGATACATCAGCCGCTCGTGAGTAAGTGAGCTGAAACCAACAAGTCAGGTGACTGCCTCACTGTAACACATTACATTGACCCAAGTCCCAACCTTTGTAACATGACCAATTTAGCTCAGGCCGGTCTGACAACAACAGTGAGCGCAGCCCACTCTTCATACCATCTGAATGATAAGCATGGGATGCTTTGAAACACTTCAACTTAAGATAGCTGGAAGGCAACTTAGCACATTAAGTATTGATTTATGTATCACATGGCATCTTTAAGAGCTCCTTGCTCAACATTAGTTAAAAACCCCACTGGCTGGGTGATGAATACGCACCCATCTGCACCGGACACATCATCTGACATGGCCCATTTAGTGAGGTTCTTCAAGAACATATTAAGTCGCCTGTCATCCCCGGTGCCATCTCCATCTATCATTAACCGTCGCCGGATCACTTCCTCTGCAAAAATAAAAACATCATTATAAAATGCACAAAATTCACAAAAGTAAAATCTACACACATTTAGCATATGCCAGAAACATTAATTTGCATTTGCACCTCCATAAATTCGAATAAAACACTGAACTACCAACAAAAGCACACAAAAAATAAAGTGAGTATTTAATCAACCAGTCTCAGTCTGTCTTCTCTGATCAACAAAATTGCTGGGTTTCTATGCACGTCTAGTTGATTTAGCAAAATTTCACGTGCATTTTTTGGTATTTATTTACTTTAGGTCCGCAAAACAGAGGGGTAAATAAAAGTCATTCACACGATACTCTAAGACCTCCTGATTTCATTTCTGATACTTATTCCTTCTAGAAACCAATTTAAAAGCACCAGTACACTAGTATCACCGATTGATTCAGCATCCATCAAAAATCATGGGGGCTGGCGAAACGAATATGAATAACTTACCATCAGACATCATAAAAATGATCCGGCCAACTGACTCAACACCAACACAAACTCTAATACGAAGGCAGTACTCCACACATTTAATTATTCCAATACTACACTAATTTCCCTTGCTAATTTCCCCTGAATTTCCTACTCATCAAAAGCGTTTTCAGCAAATATGCTCCAAATGTGAATGACTTGATTCAAAATATGGCGCACTTGGAAAATTTAGACCACTAAATAAAAACTTTGGTATCTTTATGTTGGCAGCTCTTGAGTAAAATAAAAGTTATTGATGACAATGATTACATTTTTATATACAAATGCGTGATTATGACAGATAAAATTAAATCCTTTGAGTCTTTTGAAAGGGTTACACCGAAGTAATCTTTGCAGCCGCTACGTACTGGTCTAGTACCATTGCGTACAGGGACCCGCAGTTGCTTCTGTACACACTAGTATTTCAGCGTATTCTTTGCCTGTGACACCGTTGGAGGCGAATTTGGAAATGATTGTGTGCTTATTAAAACCACCATCTGAAGGGCTTTAAACTGATGTGCTGCTCTCCTAATTCAGTGAACTTGTTATGGCTATATCAGCAAAACATTGTTTCCAGCGCTTTTTCCTGCCCCATTCCTTCTGAAACCTGGAACCGCCTATTCCATTTACTCCTGCCATCTGACGATGGTCGTGCTGACTACCAGTTCCGGCGCTAGTTTCTGCTCCAGTTTTGCACCCGGCACAAACTCAGGCGGCACCGGGCCGTGGCTCGACCATGGGGAGGGTCGGACCGAGCCGACTGCCTGGGGCGCGGTTAGGTCGGACGCCCTGCTGGGGAAGGGGACGGGAGTGAGGGGGAGTGGAGGAGGTGGTCACGTGGTCCGTCCAAGCTCGCAGACGACCTGTCCTGCGCCCAGCCATGTTCCGTGATCCAAAATGGCACGAGAGCTGTGGAATGCCTGGAGGAGACGCTTCGAAAGCGAACTTCAGCAGCACTAATTTACCATATTCTGTGGAGATAAATGAATATTATCTTAATGCAGAAAAAATTGTATGCCCAAGCTGTATAAGCTGTATCTTTTTAAAAGTTGTAAATAGGATTATTTTTAGGGACTTATAGGTTTCGTATACACAGTGAATCGTGTTACAATAAGCCGTTTCGCTGTTATGGTTACTAACTGAAGTGTTATCCTTTTTTTCTCACAGGGAATGACAATACAATAACAATACGAATAAAACCAGACGTTTCGCACAAAAAAGTGCCTTCGTCAGTGGCAAGAAATAAGTAATTAGGCATACATGTTTTCTTTCGATAAAATCGATGAAGTAGTTATCTTTATTTTTTAAAGATATATTTTCAGCAGTTTTTTAAGCACATCATGGAAGCTTATAAACATTTGTGTATTTTATCGGCAACCAGCTGGCCAGAGGGCTGTTCACGGGCCCTGTGTGCGGTCGGACCGCACACAGCCTCCAAGCTCCGCCCACTGCGTCCCTACGTCAGCCTTCCGTCACCGCACACAGCGATCGCTGTGGCCGGTCGGGACTGGCCACAGCGAACCGTCCACCGCACGCAGCCGTGACGTCAGAGCCGCCTACCCATTCCCTACCCCCACGCCTGCTGGACGCTCCGCACACACCGCACGCAGCAGTGTGCGGTGCCCGTGAACACCCCTCAGACCGAGACGGTGCCGCATTTAGTTCTCATCGATGTTAAACCTATACACTTTTTTCCACTGACGAAGGCACGTTGTTGTCCGAAACGTTTGGTTTTATTCACATTGTTTTTATATTGTCATTGTCCGTGAGAAAAACATACTCATATGGACAGGTCTCAGTTCATGTAGAAATTGTTGCACATTCATCAACACAGATAAAATGAATATTAGCCCTCACCACACATATAAGTAGAGGTAAGTAGACCGCACCCCCTGTTTTTCACCAATAAACCGCGGCAAAGCGAAGGATTGCGACGATTCTTTGGTGCACTGGAGTTAATCAATTTTACAACTTACCGGAAAATTAAATAGCCCTTATCATTTTTGCATCTTGTCTGAGAATTTGAAATCCCTGAACCAAATTACCTTTAACCTGTGATTATTTTTCTCAAGATCATGTCAGGCCAGAATAGCAATTGAAAGTCAGCGCACATCTTCTGTGTGTTTCCATAGTCGTTTCGTGATTAGCAACGTGACAACATGTGAAATATACTATCTAATGTTTGTCTCATTGATTGTTGTGGGTGCCAAGGTCACGTGAAACTCAGTTTAAGGTCATTTACTTGAAATGATCTCGGTTAACTTCCTTAAATTTACACCCTTTTACTGTGGTTTTTAGGAAGTGGTGGTTTGAAATTTAGCACCCATTTTAGCATTTGAAAACTAGGCATACTTAGGTATCAGTTATAGTGCTTATGCAATATGTTGCAAGGCTGTAAGTGCTGGTTAACATTCTATGGATAGCCGGCAGAACGCCTAATGGGTGATCTGGTGTGACCCGTCCTACCCCAAATGCTTTGATACATGTCTTTGATCAAAGCAAGTGCAAATTCGGAGTCAGAAACAAGCCAAGTCCCAGCAGACTTCACTTGTAGAAATTCTAGCAGGACCCAATTTTCCGTGCTTTTGGGTTATTAACCTGATCTGGGAGGTCAACCAGTGACCTAGGATCTCAGCATTGACCAGGACATAAAAATAATTGGCTTCTTCTCGTCAGCGATGAACAGGACCCTCAAATCATCGGATTTCTCTCGTCACGAGCAGCTCGCTCTCTTTTTATTTTTTTCAGCGAAGCTTTGGCTCTTTTTATCAAGGGCCGAATATGGCTGAGGGTTTCTACGCCCCTCCGATACATGTAAGACGCTGAAAAGAAATGCCTAAATGGGTGAGGGTTAAATATCAATTGGTTTTTAAGTGCCGAAGCCCGAAGCACTTTAATTTACTTCGATAGCAGTTTTTTAAGACCAACGAGCTCGAATACTATAACTTCTTGAACAATGTAAGCACCACATAAAATGAATCGTGAGAGAAGCGGCTCAAGATTAAGGAGCTATAAGACACTTAACCCGCGCGGGGCTGGGGGGGGGGGGGTAAATTTTACCCCCCTCGCGAATTTCGGCAATGTCTCAAAAACGGCGGCGCGCAGCGCCGCCAAACTTTCAGTACCTTTTCTTACATCAATTTGACACGTTTCCTGAAAATTTGAGCGAAATCCGTCGGAAGATTTTTGAGAAATTGACGTTTTAGTGACGTCATGTTCGCCATTTTCGCCTCAAAAACGGCAAAATTTCAAACGCCGCTTACATCTTCATTTTTAAAGGAATCAAGACGTAACAAAAAAGGTTATACGTCTTTCTACTTTGTCTATCAAATGGCTATCTCGGTTTTCTGAAAATTTTGGATTTTGGCCCAACTTTAAAAAAAAGACTTTTTGGGGAAAATAGTTATAAAATCCAAAATTTTGAGTGTATCGAAAAAACCGGAATATATGTCAGAGAAGTGGTCTATGTGCACCTACATACCAATTTTTAGAAGAATCGGTTCAAAAATGTGGGAGTTATTCAAAATGTTATGACGTCACGACACACAAAAAATTTGAAAAATGAACTTTTTGGAAGTTCTAGACCTCGTACGGGAACATAAATAGCACGATTCGATTCGCCGTGAAAAACTGCATCAGATAGACACCTTTTTAGGCCCAAACAACCATCTTCAAAATTTGACCTCACTTGACCTGACCTTGACCTGACCTCGACCTGAAATTCATCCAGAGGTGGTCCATATCGCTTATTGAGTGTGCCTATTGAATTCTATGAGTAAAATGACCCATAAAACATGTGTCGCACATGCCCTTTTCTATATTTTGTTTTTGGTGACCTGACCTGACCTGACCTGACCTTGACCTTGACCTCTGAATGATATTGTATGCAACGAATATTGTCTTGGTAGCCTAAGAACACGTTTTGGGCAATCAGTCTCAGTCCATGACTCCATTCTTCGGCAACTACGGTGCAAGGCCGATACTGTAGAAACTTGCAATTTGTACCCTTGACCTGACCTTGACCTTGACCTCAAACTTTAAATTAAGTACATGTTTTTAGTTGTTCGTGATGAGATCTTTCGATTGGCGTTCGAATTTTCCAAATCGGACCATTAGTTCGGGAGATAACAGGGGGGGGGGGTAAAATTTACACCCCCCCAGCCCCGCGCGTTCGGCTGGAGACCCCAGCCCCGCGCGGGTTAATAAAAACGGCATAGATTAGAAACTGCACCTAACTTGCACTGGTTTTTAAACCTTTTCGTTGCAGACTGGTAGATTACATTTTAGGATTGATTTCAGCTGATGCTCAAATGGAGCTATTCATTCGTTCATTCATGCGACCATCCAATTCCAATCATAAAAGAAGCCAGTGACAAAATTGTTCATTTTAGATGTGTGAAATACAAACTCAATAAAAGTTTGATGATACGGCATATTTGACAGCTTTTATAATGAACAGACAAATAACTTTAACAAATCAAGGTTGAGAGCCCCAAATAGGGGAGAGTGAGGTAAGATGAGCCAAGGGGCAAATTTAGCCACCCCATGTTTCTCAGCTCCTATGGCGCTAATTGACTTGAGCTTCCATGTGCCGTTCGCTTACGATGCTGCAGTCTTTCACGTGAGTCGGCAACGTTCTCACGCTCAGCACCCGGTAACATGTGGTATCGCCCCTGATAAAGACATGTTTTGCCTTTAAAATGAGATGGTTTGTTATCTGCGGTGCATGGTTATTTTCCTTAGCGGGTGTCATTAATCGAAAATGGCCACGGGTGGGGCAAGATGAGCCATTTTCACCTGGGGGAAGATGAGCCGGATAAGCCATTGTTGTCTCCGCTGTCGAAACCAAACTGAGCTGCGCTTGTTTCTGCTGAATAAAAATGGTAGGAGATTGTTTTTTTTTTTGTTGATTACACAAGTTGTAAGTAATTTGCAGATTATCTGAAGGATAAAATGATATCTTCCGTGATAGAAAACTTGACGAGTTATTGGACGTCTTAAAACAGTCACTTTTTGATGGAGGGAAAACTTTGCCATAAGTATTATGCCATGGAGTAAATAAAAGAGCCCACTCTTCGCCGCGCCCGGGAAAAGAAGAGTTTCGCTTTTTTCTATCCATGCTCAACTTTCCCCACGACGTGTCTCAACTTACCCCGCCCATGGGGTAGGATGAGCAACGTGCAAGATGATTTTTGACGTAGCCTTTCAGTACAAAAATAAGCGGTATGAAACATTTCTGGCCAACATTACATGCGCAAATGACCACTCTGTCCGTCCAACCCGTAAACGCAGAAAAATGATCAGCCTGTAGCTTACGAAAAACAAAAAGCGGCTCAACTTACCTCATTCTCCCCAACGTAACACAATTGAGGGCATTTTTTAGGCCATCACAGTATTTGCCAACAATTGTTGTTTGGGGGACTGGGAAGGGTGGTTACTGACTCATAAACTGCCCCCCCCCCCAAAAAGAAAAGAAAACGAAACCGATCATCCGCGAAAAGAACTATTGAGCTAGAACCAAGGTGACGAATCGATTTATAGGTATGCAGGATGACTAACGATGCCACTTTTTGACTTCTTGTGTCAAATAATTCCATCATCTGGATAGCACGTCAACATTCTATTTGACATTTTACAACAAATGTATACTATTTGGCGCGACTGGCCTCATAAATGTTCTGAAACTAAAACCGTTTCTTCGCAATTAACTTGGACCACGTCATCCCAGCTTTTGCACGACAAAAATACAATAATGCTTCAGGATCACTGGCCTGAATTCCAATGCTTAAAGTTCAAAACCGGTGTGGCTGAGGCACTCTTCGCTACATCTCGTGACGGCCACCATTGCGTTGCATTTTTTTTCGGTAAGCTATAAGTTAATAAGGAAAGGATTGGTGAGTGGGTTGAAAACAGCCCTCACCCTCCACCCCCCCTTCTTCTGGAAGCATAAGTAACCGAAAGATCTGGCGATGGTTTAGCCACCTCCTCTGCCGCCGCGCTGCGAGGCCTCGATTCGTTCGGTATGTGGCTTCCTGAGCGGTCCTCCCCGGAGGCAAGGTGAAAGGTCATGGCCTGTATCAGAAATTTATACGTTGCTGAATATGATTTATAGTTCTTCCAAGGCCTTGGACACCGTTTTATTATATCGGATAAGCATTGCACTTTCTTGTCAATCAATACATTTAAAGAAAACTTGATCATAATCTTATACTGCGGCAATTGTAGTTCTGCTTACGGTTGCCTCTTTATGATACGGGCCACCACCACCTCCACTGCGCTGGAGCTCAGGCGTTCTACCCCTCCCCGCTACGGACCGGCCCTCGGGCTAGGTGTGTTAGTACTGAGCGCAAACCTGTAGTAGTCACGTGACTTTCATTCACGTAGCGGGAACGGAAGCTATAGGCGATACCAAGGACGGGCTCTGGGGAGGCAACCGGCGCGGAAAAATAGCACGATTGTAGTTTTGGAAGAATATCTGTTGCGGTAAGAGGAATTATACAAAACATACGCCCTAGGAGCAAACATGTGTTATTCCTCCATACTTTGCGCTACATTTCCTTTCTCCAATGGCCAGCACTTCGCAAATAATAGCGCAATTCTAAATTGGTAATATATGTGTACAGTAGCAACTGCGGGTCCCTGTACCTATGGGTTTCACGCGAAGGTTTCACGGGTTTACAGCATTCAATGCGAGTTAATCCCGGCGGTGTGGATAAGATCAGAGTTCAGACTCGAACGACTCTGGCGTTTGGCTTCGGCCTCATCACACCTACCCCTCCCCACCCCTGTCGTTAATGTCGCCTGTCGGGGTGGTCGGTCGGCCATGGGCTGGCGCCTGTCCACGAATCAGCCTGTCAGCGACGCGCGAGCCATGGGCTGATGAATGGCCGCCGCTGCACTTGACTGCACGGATTAGCATGGCCTTGGTTGCGCGGTTGGAAACAGTGGAAGTTTCTACTGCCGGCCGACTCTACCTCCCAGGATCTAATGTAATGTGTCGGGTGGGACTGTTAGTCGGGGTAAGCGTAAACATACAGCCGAACAGGCGCCGCGCCATGCCCTGTAATGGTGAAATGTAACAGAGCATTTGAATGTGAAACGCCCACATGACTTGCGCATTCCAGCGTAGCTCACCTATCCGTGCTTCTATCCTCAGGATACTGAAATCCTTCTCCTCCACGCCACAACCCTCCTCCGGGCTGGACAGGCAACTTTATCTCATGCGGGCTGCTCCCTTGGAGCGGCACCGCTACTCCCGAGGGAGCGCACCCCGTAGCCGGGTGCAGTGAGTGCCTTGGGGCTGGGTGGCCTGTCCTCTGGACGGGCTCAGCCCCGGCGACTCACTAGGGTGCCTGACCAGACCAATGTCTCCCCCTAATTCCTACCATCCTTCCGGCTCTGCAATGGTCTTGTCGACCGAAAGGGCCTAACCCAACAAAACAAAACACCCACGGCGAACACCGCGGCACTTGAAGCGGGCAAAAGGGGTTGCATGTTCAATGCCGTCAAACACATCTATTTTGGACATGATACCAGCTCACTCGGGAATAAAACACATTCGGGGACAATACAGTTGAGATTGAGAGAGCTCATTTATATTTTAGATTATAGTTAGGTATAATCGTTATGTAATACAGCATTCAGTTGAGACGTGTGGCCCACCAATGTTGGACTGAGCTGCCACGCTGTCGGCCGCCGCCGACCCTACTGAGCGGTTAGGGTGTAGATGAGGGCGTCAGTGGGCGGCAGAGAGGCGGTGATGGTGTCTCCCGGCTGCACCAGGCCGCCGTCAGCGCCGCTGTACAGCTCGCGGACGCGGTAGCCGCCGGCCGCCTCCGCGCAGCCCGCCAGCGCCGGTGTGAAGCTCAGCTCGGTGGCCGAGTCGCCATAGTTGACGGCCGCCACGGCGCAGGAGGTGGCGTCGCCGGCGCGCGGCAGCACCGGGCGCGCCCACAGCTGTGCGTCGTCGCCCTGCTGCACCTTCAGCCGGCCCATGACGCCCAGCTCGTCCTGGTCGACGGCGATGACGTCGGCGTTCTGCAGGATGGCGGCCGCCTCGGCGCTGATGGCGCGCAGATCGTTGGACATGATGAGCGGCGCCGCCCAGATGGCCCAGAGCGCCATCTGCACGCGGCTCTGCGCCAGCGTCAGGCCAAAGTCGCCGATAATGAGCATGTCCGGGTCGAACCAGCCGCCGGGCCCGGCGAACTGGAACTGCTCGGCCTCCAGCAGCGAGTAGAGGCGCGCGATGCTCACCACCGACTCCCAGTGGTCCTGCACGTCGTGCGTGTTGCGCCAGAGGTTGCAGGTGGCGGCGATGGCCGTGTAGTTGTGCGGCCCCAGCTCGTAGAACGGCCACTCGCACGAGTAGACGATGGGCCGCTCCAGGGCGGCCAGCTCGGCGCCGAACGCCGCGTGATCCTCGGGCAGGTCGGCACGACGCTCGTTACAGCCGTCAATCTTCAGGTAGTCGGCGCCCCACTCTGCGGCATTGAGGCACACTCATCAGCGGCATGGCGCCTAAAGCAGACAAGTCAGACACTTCCCTTGGGAAGAGAGATCCCTTGGTAAGCCCAATATTATTGAATGAAATAATTAGAAAGTTTCCCTTGAAGTCGATATCCAGTTGATCCAAATGTCCTGCCCTCCTGCCTACCAACGGGTTTCTATTCCACTTCCCAGCAGACTGACCATTCCCCATCCCCACAAGACTCCGAAGGCGCCCGCCCCGTCACCCACCGGCGAACGTCTGTGCGTCCAGCTGGAAGTGGCCCTGCAGGCCCGGGTAACCGGCGCACGTCTCGCTGCCGATGTCCTCGTAGATGCCGTACAGCAGGCCGCGCCCGTGGATATAGTCGCCGAGCGCAGCCATGCCGCCCGGGAATCGGTCCTTGTCCGGCTGAAGGCGTCCCTCCGCGTCACGCGTGCTGTTCAGCCAGCAGTCGTCCACTATGACGTACCTGGCCGGGACCACGACGGTCACAAAAGGGAGCGGAAATGGGACCGGCAAACGCGCTAGCTGGAGAGCACTTTAGACCGAAACACCCATATAAAGAACGTGGATATTCTACTCCAATGCGTGAAAGGCTCATAACTGCATCGCCTTAATTAGCTCCCAGAAACGTCAAATGCCGCTCATAGGGAAAGATCACATCAAAACAATGCTCATCTTTCACCAGGTGGTACCTGGAACAAGTAACTGTTTATCTTACGGGTTTTCGTTCCCCAGCACCGCACCAGACTGATCCTGACACCCTTCCAGGGCCCTCTGTCACCTACTTGTATCCGAGCTCGGCGTAGCCATCCTCCGCCAGCCGGTCAGCCATGGCCTTCATCAGATTCTCGCTGATACAGTTGTCCGGGTCGTTGACACAGTCCATGTTGCAGCGGAACCGCTCCCAGGTCAGCCATCCCATGGGAGGAGTGCGGGCCAGACCGTTATCCAGGGCCAGGCAGGGCCCAAGGAGCGCCACCAGCAGCGACACGGACAGCGACATGGCGAGCGTAGGGCGATGTGTCGAATAACGAGGGCGTGCCGGCCAGTGGATACCTGCTATCTAACGCGGAGCCCGTGGGAAGGGAGACAGGTGTTCAGTGTCATGTCAGTAGGACCCTGACGCGATATCGCTCGAGATACCCTCCCCTCCGAACCTTTGGACGACAAACGCTAAGTGATGGAGGCTTGTCCGCCGCGCAGCCTCAGAGACATAACCAGGGAACTAAATGTCAGTGTAACTTCAGATGTTGTGCGCCTCGGAGCTTTCGAAGGAGTTGACGTTTCTGACAACACGACAATATACGCCTCCTCCTAAGTTCTGATTTCGGCATCTCTTTATCACATTTTTCCCTGTTGTCTGTGCCCTGGAGCGCCGATGCGAAATTTATCACCCACTGTGAAGTGTGAGCCTCCCTACCCGACTCGTCCCCGAAAAAGCACCGTGTGACTGGCTCCGCTCCCAGCGGACGTGTATTAACAGTGGCAGGTATCATGAAACAGCATCGGAAGTCGGGCGCAGGGTTACGCCTTGGCGTTGAACGGGTAATACTTGTGGTGGCTCATCCACGAGAGCCCGCAGAACCGGCCGCCGTTGTCGAACGAGTCGATGGCGGCGACGTCGTCGGCGCTGAGCTCAAAGTCGAGGATCTCCATGTTCTCCTTGATGCGGCTGGGGGTGACCGACTTGGGGATGACGACGTTGCCGCGCTGCAGCTGGTAGCGGATCAGCACCTGGGCCACCGACTTGTTGTATTTCTCGGCGATCGTCTTCAGCTTGGGCTCGTCCATCAGCTCCACGTCACCGGGCTTGGCCCACGGCCTGTGACGAACGGCGGGACACGCTGGGTCACAGGCTGGTCGCAATAACGGTCTCATGGGGTCGATCAACTAAGTTCACAGAGGTCGAAACAGATCATGCGAGTTGAAGGTGGGTCACACGGGTTAGGTATGAGATCAGCTTGTTAAATATCTACCGCAGTTGAAAAAAAAAAACGTGGGGCGGCACCCGAAAAGACTGGGTGAGTCTAAATCTGACCAGATACGGCGGACTGGGACTGAAACGGGCCAGACGGGCTGATAAGCGGCCGGACTCCGGACAGATTCTACGGCGGCCTCCCGTCGCTCCAGGCAGTGTATGCCGACGTCTCCGACACACATCTCAGAGTACCAGACTAATCAGGAGTCCTGCCGACTGTCTCGTCTCACGCTATCAGATGTCGTACGGGGCCCAGCGTCCGGTCAGACCGCCAGCGTGAGCTGTGTGAAAGGAAACTGGGCCACCTCTGCTCCTGTCAGCACCGAACCTACCTGTCTGGGGAGCCCAGCGGGCTGTAGGCTGTGACGACGATGTTCTTGGATGCGCAGAACTCCATCAGCTTCTTCTGGGTCAGGTACGGGTGGCACTCCACCTGGAAAGGATCAGGGTCAACTGTTGAACACTTCACTAGGCAAAGGTGTCAGAAAACACCACATGCCTGACGTTAGTGGATGGATGGCTTTTTGTCACTGGCATTCACCCATAAGATATATACCTACAATCAGAGAGGTGGAATTGAATGCTGGGAATAAATGTTATACGGTTACTCTTACAATATAAGTTTTACCGTACCTATATTATATAAGAAACTCTATAGTTTACGAAACACATGATAATTATGGCGTTCGAAACAATAACCGGTAAACACTCGATTTTATTTTCTATTACAATCGTCGAATTATTCCAGGTGGTATAAAACAATTTGAAAACCCAGTAAAAGTTTCACCTAAAAACATCGTCTGAGTTCACCCGTCAGACTTGCTAACAATTCAGCCCAGTCAGGTCACGCGCAAGCATATATGGGCAGCTAAGCGGCCATTTCTGCGACGCACCTTGCCCTATGTCCACAATCACATACTTCAATAATCCACTGTCAACTACACAAACATGGAAGTGGAATACATGTCAATGGAGCCTTCATCCCGCCGCTGGTGGTGGGGCGCCGCGATAGCGCCTCCGCCGACTCGGGTACAAACTGATAAGGGGCTTCCATACGCCGCGTGGGCTGAACCACGCCGCACACCGTCCAACAGCGTGTCCCAGACCGTGTCGGACCCACTTTTCTCTCCCCAGTCCCCACACTCCCACTGTGAGGCCGGTGACGCGTCCACGGGAGGGCTATTTTTTATTCCCCGTCTACACAGAAACTACAAATGAGGTAATTTGCATAAAGCACTAACTGCCATGGGTATTTTTTATGGATTTGAATTTAAACCGTTATTCGGGATTCAGATACCCAAGGGCCCCAACCGTCTTAAAGACGTCGATCTTAAAAGTTATTCGCATAAACGTATGGATAAAACATTATTTCCGATATAACACTAACACATTGTATAACTTTCGTCCACTTTATCTATGAAATTTTGTGAAATTATGCGTACGTGATCTCGTACAAAGGAAAAAAAAAGATGGCGCAAATACCTAACGTATGCCTCCCTCCTCGGTTCAATTAGAGAAAGTCTACCGCCCCCAGTGAAGAAAGCCCCGGCGGTCGGCGGAGAATGGATGGGCGGCAACGATTACTGTACAAATAGCGGCGGCCATGGAAGGGACAGGACCACTGCTGTGGGGACCGGCGTCCCGATAACAGAGCGCGAGAGCGAGGACAGAAGGTCAACGACCCGCACCAGATCGGGGCGGCCGGCAGTCGCGACAGGAGTCACGCGGTAATAGGACGCCGGGCGGGACGGAATGTAATGCCGTCACAGAGAGCAGTATCCTGTTACAGTGTGTCCCGCTGAGACCGAGGGGGACGCTGCTTACGTGTACAGATTAAAAGTCAGAAGTCGCTCGCCTAGTGATAACTCAAATAACAAATAAATGGAAAATAGGGAACACTCCACTGGACTACATAGATTTATCGGTGCTATTCTACGGACGTTCGATTTTGTTTTAGTTCCAGTACACGTAAAACGTAAAAAATCACAACTCGTAGAGGATACAGATTAGTCCACCAGGTTGTGTCCCGTAAATCCTATCCAATTACTGTCCCGTTCGTTATATCCCAGCGATAGTGAACCTACCCCGCTAGTGAAGGGGACTTCACTCGCTCTGACAGCCCGGACTCACCTGGTTGACGCAGACGGGCACCTTAGCCTCAGCCATGACGCGCTCAATCTGCTCCTCGTTGAAGTTGGAGACACCCAGCGAGCGCACCAGCTTGGTGTTGACGCCCTCCTCCAGCGCCTTCCACGTGTCCAGGTAGTCCACGTCCGAGAACTGCATCTTGCCGTCGGCGTCCTTCGGGAAGAGCTCGCCGCCCTCCTGCGGACCGGCCGGGCGCCGAGGTTACCCACCCGCCGCTGGGTCCCTGCGCACTCTGCACCAACGCTTTACTCCCCCAGTCACACGGCCCATTCAGACCTCGCCACAGCTGCGGGCTGACCGCTAAACAGGCAGGGGCCTGCAGCCAGCCCCTTTACGGCCCCACGGACCCAAAGGTCAAACCACCCAGGCACACAGACCCTGCGAGCCGGGTAGCTAGCCAAGCACCGGTCGGTCCCCTTCCCGGCCTTCCTAAAGCTAGACTCGATAATCGGGGCAGATCCATGCGCCGATCGCACAGTAAATTCACTCCGTCACGGGTAGTCGTATCCTCACGACCTCGAGCTAAGCCCACGTCCTGTGACTAGCCGAGCTGTCTTCCAGCCGGCCGTGCACCCACCGTGGTCCCCTCTCGTAAGCAGCACAGGTCTCACCTTGTAGCCCATGGGCCAGTGGATGAGGTAAAGGTCGATGTAGTCGAGGCCGAGGTCCTCCAGGGTTTTCTTCAGAGCGGGCATAACCAGCTCCGGCGAGTGGAACGTGTTCCAGAGCTGGGGGACAGACCAGGTTACGGATACACACTAGAGCGATACTGAGTCAGAAACGAGGGTTAAAATTATGGGTTAGAAGATACGATAGCAACGCATAACGAATGCTTTCCTAGAAGTCATCAACGGTATTGTTTCTTCAGGAACGGAGGCACTTCTAGGAAGCAACATACTCAGGAAGCAAAATACGGTGCCTTTATCCGAGTTACTACCCACACAATCCTCTCCCCTACAACGATACCACGGGTGTGTCTGCGGACCGCACTTTGTGTCTCCGGCATGACACCTTATACTCAGACATAAGACTCAGGCATTTATCGAGGTGTCCCACTTGGGGTGGCTTTTAGCACCTCGGTCGTTTCGGCCAATCCTGCGCGTGCGTACGTACCTTGCTGGTGATGAAGACATCCTCGCGTTTGACGGTGCCGTCGGCGATCTTGTTGCGCAGCGCCTCGCCGACCTCAGCCTCGTTCTGGTAGGCCCGGGCGCAGTCGATGTGCCGGTAGCCGAGCGACAGCGCCGTCTCCACCGCCTCCTTCACCTTGCCCGGCTCCGACTGGCGACAAACACGTACAGTCACAAATAAAGTCGGATTGACATGCACAAGACAATCTTGGTTCCGATACATATACAGGCGGAGTGATAAATGCATGTGCTGTCTATTGAATCTATTCCGTCAGAACCTATTCTATTCCAATTTTATGGAACTATCGAATGGTTTATTAAATCATCCACTTCTTCTTCCAGGCACAGTAGCGGTGGAACACCTTCAATTAAGGGGGGTACTGCCGACTTTTGGTCCCATTCTTTCCATGCAACGCCCACAGGGCTAATGTTTAAATGCCAAAAACAAAGGGGGCGGGGCACGGTGCCGCGGTGCCCTCTTCGTTCCGCCGCCTATGGCCGAATCCACTGGGTTCCCTCAGATATCCGGCGTCTTCGGCAGCGCGGCTGTCGGGGAGACGGCGGGGAGACGGCGGGGAGACCGGCCACGCATGGACTGCTCTCACTCCTCCCCTACCCCCGCCCAAGTCTCAAGGTCGGCAGTGCGCTATGTCCACCCGCCGGCCGGTCCGTCAGCTCAGCGGCCGCTGACGGACTGTAAGTGGACACCGGTGGACCTGGAATCGCCGGCGCGGAGCCACCCGTTCAGCAAATGAACTGAACACAACAGGTCAATGGAGGACTGACATACATTACGTAAACAAAATTACCTATGTAGTTCAATGCGATTTCTGATCAGTTTCCAATCAGTCTGACGAAACTATGGCGGTTGACGATGTGCCGTGCATTTTCGTATAACATTGCTATTTGCACGATGCATCTCCATCTGAGCGGGTGGGGGAGATTCATGCCATTCATCGGAGGACGTGGATCGACAAGAAATAGTCATTCTCTTCGGGAATTGCTGAAATATCTACGTACGATATGCACTCAATCAGATTCCTGAAATGGGATTTAAAATACGATAGGTAGGGGACAAGAATACAATAAGTGGGTGGTTGGCGGTTGCTATGCCAACGTCAGACGGTCAGTCGTGTCAAGTGCTTATCGCGACAACCTGCGACATGACACTGTATTCTATCAATTCAAATATGCCGTTAGGTTCTGTGAGTCCGCTCCTAGAACAAATAAATGCTGCCGAGTGCCGGCCCTCCCCTCTGCGCCCGGCGCGGCTGCCGACAGCCGGCGTGGCCTTCACGCAGCCGCGGCTGTCGACCCGAGTCCCTCTCACGCCCCTCCCCCTCCTGCCAGCGCACATGGCGAGAGGGTCCGACGGGCTACCGACCGGGGACTGAAGGTCGGGCGTGGTGACTGGGAATGAAATTCGGGGGCATAGACAGGAGCAAACGGACGAGCTTCAGCTTCCAACTTGACGAGCCGACATATCACGGTATTCAAATGTCAATGTTATGTTTCGTACCTCGACGAAACGATGATCACGAATAGTGCGATCGGTTGAGATTCTTCGATGAACCAACGCTCGATTACTGGAGCGGTGGAGCCGGGGTCAGCGTGGGGGGGGGGGAGGGATGGGAAGAGGGAGCGAGCAGCTGCAACAGACGCCAGATCACTAGGGCAAACTAATAAACGAACGACACCCGGCACACCCCTCGAGTATCAGCAGGCATCAGCTAACACCACTCGTCAGCCAACAGGCAGAGTTCAGTTACTAAGCAGTAAGCACGCACCTGACGAGTGACAATGCATCAGGCCACTCAAAATCGCGTATTCGGGTTCGGCACCACCGGGTGCCGGTGACTGCTCCCTCCCTTTCCCGGAGACAGGAAACGTCTGGTGGGGTCAAAAAGCAGTCGTCACACGACACATTTCGATGAGGTCAGGACGAGGTCAATACATTTCAGTGATGACAGGACGTGTCTCGGTGAGCTCAGGACATGGATTGGTACGGTTCAGTGCGGTTCACTTATTCCGTGACATTTTGAGAGATTTCGGTGAAGTACCTTTCAGGAAACGGTAACTGCTCGCCGCTCGGCATAGCTCCACACTCGGGACAGAAAGTCATCGCCCACCCTCCTGCGGTGAATCCATAGTCGGTTACTACCGTCCGTGAGCGACCCACACTGCCGGGTTTTACTCACCTTCCAGGTGCCGAGGCCGAAGAGCGGCATCTCATAGCCGCTGGCCAGCTTGACGGTCGGGAACTTCGGAGGGGGCGTCATGGTGCGCTGCAACGACAACGCAATCGGTCACAGGACAGGTCACAACTCTGCACTCCCTTACCCCGATCAAGCCGCATCACAAGGCACTCGTGTAACATAGAGTGACTAACTTTTTACTGCAGCGCTCATAAGCGAAGAATAATGGAAAATCGTTGAGGAGGTCGCATTCCCTACTCTATACCTACCAACAGTCTCCCGATGGGAATGGTCGGCGGTCGCATCCGTCGACATGGGAATGGTCGGCGGTCGCATCCGTCGACCCGAAACTGTGGAGTGTTTATTGGGGGGGGGGGGGGGACGTGCACCTGTCTGGTTGACAAAGCGGGGTTGGCTTCACGTGCCGCAGCTGGTTCGCCGGAACCCCCCCCCCCCCCTCCCCCAGTCCCGCTGGGCCGAACGGGGCCAGTACGCGGTACTGGTACCTTTATCGATCCAGGGTAGCCTGACGGACGTTGAAGCTCAACACTCCTCAGTCTCCAGCACCACTTACCATGCTGGCTTCGCGGGAAGGGGAGGAGTCGCGTATACCTCCAGATTTCATTTTGTTTCCATTTCGGACGCAGGGATGGAAAGGGCCCTCCCCATCCCCGCGTTATAGAGCCATGACGAAACTGGAGCTCCGGACGGGTCGTTGATATCATACCAGTAGATTATCGCTCCCTAGCCATGTTCCCCTAGCCCCTACTCACCGTGAAAGTGGCAGGACTTGTCCCACAGAACCTCCTCCAACACCAACACCCGGAACCACCCGGCCGCGACAGTAATTCGCCAGAGAGGGAGGTAGCCAGCGCGCGCGCCACGAGCCGAGCCATAACCAACAGCTCAGGCCCCGCCCACAACAGAACCCAGCCAATAATAAGCGTTTTGGTGGAACTTCATGGAACCGTCAAACCTATAGGCCAACCGCATTTCTTGGAGTAATTGATGACGCCAAAAAGCCTACGAATATTGCATGTGACGTTAAATCAGGATGTAAATGGTAAAACAACAGTTTTATTATTCTGAGTAGTTTTTCATAAATGATTTTAAAATAAAAGAGCTTATCTATCAGGTGTATTTTTAAAACCTATCAATATTACGTCATTTTCAGCATTAGCCAAGACTTCCAGAGACAAGTAAATGTATCCTTTTGGGACACATTATCGACGCGTCAGAGACAGTAAAAAGTCGGCGATTGTGCTCAACAAAGCAAGGACAAAACTGTTATTCCATGCATGAAAAAGTTAGAGTTGAAAAAACGTCCTCAAAGTGGAATGAATGTAGCTTTTTTGTCTTGTGTATAATTTTTAACTATTTCTGTACCCAACCAGTAGGAGATATTACAGTTCTAAATAATTCACAAAGGACGGTCGTCAAGTTAGATGTAAGTGAATCCTAATCTATAATCTAAGATTCGGAATCAGGTGAGCCCCTACGATTTGGACCAAACTTGGTCAGTGGATAGTACGTAACGTCTTGATTACGATGCACCCAAAATCTAAGCTCGGCCCGCCATATTTACGAAGTTACGGATGTTTGAATTTCAAGGTCATTCGGGAGAGCCCCTACGATTTCCATCAAAATTTGTGTACGGACACTCTAGATGCTCCTCATTACGAATATCACAAAATTTAAGCTCGGCCCGCCATATTCACGAAGTTACGGAGGTTTGAATTTCAAGGTCATTTGGGTGAGCCCCTGCGATTTCCGTCAAAATTGGTATACGGACATATTACATCCTCCTCATTACAAATATCATAAAAGTTAAGCTCGGCCCGCCATATTTTTCAAGTTACGGAGTCACAAAGTTACGGAATTTCAAGGTCATTCAGAGAGCCCCTCTGATTTTCGTCAAAATTTGTATGCGGACACATTACATGCTCCTCATTACGAATATCGTAAAAGCTAAGCTCGGCCCGCACTATCTCAAAAGTTACTGACGTTTGAAACTCACTGAAATTCAAACATCTCTAACTTTTGAAATAGTGCGGGCCGAGCTTAGCTTTTACGATATTCGTAATGAGGAGCATGTAATGTGTCCGCATACAAATTTTGACGAAAATCGGAGGGGCTCTCCGAATGACCTTGAAATTCCGTAACTTTGTGACTCCGTAACTTGAAAAATATGGCGGGCCGAGCTTAACTTTTATGATATTTGTAATGAGGAGGATGTAATATGTCCGTCTACCAATTTTGACGGAAATCGCAGGGGCTCACCCAAATGACCTTGAAATTCAAACCTCCGTAACTTCGTAAATATGGCGGGCCGAGCTTAAATTTTGTGATATTCGTAATGAAGACACTGGCGGATCCTGGGGGGGGTCCACGGGGTCATGACCCCCCCCAAAAGGTCTGAGAGGGTCATTTGACCCCCCCCAAAAGCCGAAGACCTAAATGCGCTATAGACGCCGTCTTGCATGCTCAAAATCACCTGTCAAACACTTCTGAGCTAATACCTTTGTTTTTCTGGATCGTGTTGCGTGAAAAGGCGTATTGAAGACCAGAATCTTACTCGTTTTTGTCTCAACCGTGCGAGCACCAGGGGATGATCCAGGAAAACTCCAAGGGGATGGTCATGAATTTAATTCGTGGTGCCCCTACCTATACGCAAAATTAAAAACTCAACGGATTTCGGTCACTTAATTTTGGTGATGTCCTATTTTCATTTTTTATTTTGTTTGTTTTATTTTTAGTGCCCCTGGGCCCTGGCAGGTCAAAATCACGTCTGAGGCGAAAGAAATTCACGGGAATCCCAAAAATCACGTCAGGACATTCAGGGCCCTCTGACCAGCCTGACAGCTAGGGCCCTTCTTACTTCCTGGGGCCTCCAGTGAATAACCGCTAGTGTCTGTGTCTGACCGCTAGGGCCCCTCTGACTCCTCAGTAGGTAGGAGGCCCTCTGTAGAGGAGGTCCTCTGTAGAAAGGAGGCCCTCAGTAGAGAGGAGGCCCCCTGTAGAGAGGAGACCCCTTTAAAGAGGAGGCCCTCTGTAGAGAGGAGACCTGCTGTAGAGAGAAGGCTCTATGTAGAGAGGAGGCCCTGTGTAGAGAGGAGGCCCTCTGTGGAAAGGAGACCGCCTGAATGCAGAAGGCCCTCTGAAGAGTGGAGACCCGCTGTAGAGAAGAGGCCCTCTGAAGAAAGGAGGCCCTCTGTAGAGAAGAGGCCCTCTGAAGAGAGGAGGCCCTTTGCAGAGATGAGGTCCTCTGGCTCTTTGAAGAGAGGAGGCCCTCTGTAAAGGAGGCCCTCTTAAAGGGAGAGACCCTCAGTAGAGAGGAAGCCCTCTGTAGAGAGGAGGCCCTGTAGCTTCTGTAGTTAAGAGGCCCTGTGAAAAGAGGAGGCCCGCAGTAGAGATCGGTGGTCCTCTGTAGAGAGGAGGCCCCCTCTGTGTTTTGACAAATGTTTTTGCAAATTTTTCGCGGCGCTTCGCGCCGCCGATTTATGTACATACGTACAGGTCAATACGAAATCTTGACTGTAATTACATAAACCAACCGTGTCAAATTGAATCAGAATTCATATGTGTGCTGTAAAGGAACTCCGGCTTGTACTGCAATGCTAAAAGGGTGGTAAAATTTGTGTTTTGGAGCTGTGTTTCGACACATTCTTTTGCAAATTTTCTCGGCGCTTCGCGCCGCCGATTTATACACCAATCAATAAGAGAGAAATAACAGTGACTGTAATAACACCAACCGTGTCAAATTGAATCGGAATTCATATGTGTACTGTGAAGGAACTCCGGCTTGTACTAGCATGCTAAAAAGGTTGTAATATTTGTGTTTTAGAGCTGTGTTTTGACAACTTTTTTTTTGCAAATTTTTGCGACGCTTCGCGCCGCCGATTCATACACAGGTCAATAAGAGAGATCGTGACTGTATGCTACTATTTACTAATGCATTAGGCTAAAAGTGAGGTAACTATATCTACTTCTGGGTTTTTAAGTCGGTCGACCCGCCTCCCCCCCCCCCCAGTAAAAAATCCGTGGCGACGCTCCTATATAGGTGGGTTTCACTAACTAAAACTACTGAGCCGAGTGACTTACGATAAAACTTCATCTTATAAACGACGAAGATCAAATGTCATTTTTTGATCTCGACATACTCGCTCCCTACCCCCCCCCCCCCCCCGGTCGTCAGAATTCATTCACCAGACCTGGTATGTCGGCCGACTGGTGACCCCCCCCAAAACGACCCCCTAGATCCGCCCTTGAATGAAGAGCATCTAGAGTGTCCGTACACAAATTTTGACGGAAATTGCAGGGGCTCTCCCGAATGACCTTGAAATTAAAACATCCGTAACTTCGTAAATATGGCGGGCCGAGCTTAGATTTTGGGTGCATCGTAATCAGGACGTTACGTACTATCCACTGACCAAATTTGGTACAAATCGTAGGGGCTCACCTGATTCCGAATCTTAGATTATAGATTAGGATTCACTTACATCTAACTTGACGACCGTTCACAAAGGTCACAACGAAGATACGAAAGCAGTGTTCATGGCCAATCATTACGTCGATTGTATTATTCCTGTTTATGTAAGCAGCTGCAGCGTCAGTAAGAATATTATTTGACTCATTTTGTATTTTCTCGAAACGCGAGACATGTGAGGTACACGTGCACAGTTTTCTATTATTGCTGCATCGCACGTTAGCTGGGTGTGTATAATAATTACTGTTCACCGTAATTTTCACTTATAATTTTCCTCTGATGGGATATTTATTTTTGTTATTGACACCATGACAACGGCCAACAGTAGTCAGTAATCCACCAATGTTTGATTTTTTCATTTCAGTTGGGGAAACTACGAGGCGAATGTCAAAAAATGGATTGGTCAATAAATGGACTTTTGATGACCATATATGGGCATAAATGCAGCCCCCGCCACTAAGGGTGAAAAACGGTATAACAAGCCGGTACTTGCGGTATCGCGTCCACTTATTGGAGAGAAAAGGCTTCCATTTTTCACTAGGAATTAGTGTAATTTGATTAAATTCGGCGAATTGACTCGAAAATGGCGATAGGAAAACGGCTTTTCTGCAGGTTCTGGGCGTCACAATCAGCTGGCCATTCAATAAATGGATTGGTTTTATGAAAGAAAATTGTTAAAAGATTTAATTTCATTACAATAAACAGAAATATTTAATTCTAAAATAATAACTTAACTACAATTAGAAAAACCATAAACAAAATAATAAAAATAATAACATTTTTAAACCACGATACTGCTTACATTTTTTGGCGCGTCTGTTTCAGTCCGCCATATTTGCCAATCACGGTTTGACCTTGCGTTGTAACTCCGCGATTTAGAGCCGCCAGTTAATTATGCACCGGGTGAGTGTAGGCCTTGTGTGGTTAAAAACATTCTTATGCCTTATTTTTTCATTTGAATGCTAAAATTCATTGAAAAGATGAAGTTGTCTGATTTTATGACCATATATGGTCATCGCCCCGCCCACTCCTGCCGCTGATTGGCTAATCCAATTTTTGTTTGGCTCCTCGTAGTTTCCCCAACTGATTTTCTTCTCAGCGGCAACATATTTAATGATATCCATTAGCGAGATGGGGTCTGGTTGGGCAATGTAATAAAATGAATACTGTATGGGGTAGGGCAATGATGAAGAATAATTGCCCTCGCCCCTTTGTGACGCCACGGCAGCCCTTGGGCGGAGACCTCAACAAGCATTTTTGCCCTCGGTTATGCCTCGGGCAATAAAACATGTTTCGGCTTTCACCTGCAGGCTACAGTGATGTCACGTCACTCGCCAGGCAATATTTTTTATGCTTGCCAGCTACCCAAATTCCAATGCAGTATTCAAACATTGGATCAAGGCTATATTTGATAATGGATATTGGGTTGGTGAATTTATTCAAGCAGTGCCATTGTATACCTTATCATTCAATACTTACCATGGGTATATGCATTCTTGTTTAAAATAAATTCCAGTGTAGACCTTTGTTTTGACTTTTTGGTGATAGCACAGGCAACCCTTCATGACACTGGTAAATGTGTAGATTGTAGAAGTAGATAAGTACCTACAGTGAAGATAAAAAACATTTTAACCTGATCTTACCTTACCTCCTGCCCTACAACTTAGAATCTACCAGCCTAAAACCTACAACCTTCAACCTACCAAGTACCAACATACCAACCAGGCTTCATCTGCACATATAGGTACCAGGGATGCGGAGCCGTGGAAATTTCAGACGGCTCCGGCTCCGGCTCCGGCTCCGGAGAAAAAAAATCGGCTCCGGCTCCGGCTCCGGCTCCGGGTGAAATGTTATGGCGGCTCCGGCTCCGGCTCCGGCTCCGAGT